GGGGACAGGGAACTGAACCTGGTTGCCGATGTACGGGTTGAAGCGACCGTACTGGTATCCGTTGACGAACAGAAGTGCGCGAAGGCGGTTCGTATCGTTAGTAGCTGCAGTAAGGCGAAACGAAATAGAGACGTCGAGGCCGGTGGGAACGTCGAGCGGGACAACGGTGCGGAAGACGCGGATGCCGGCGTCAGGAACGGAAAGAGATCCGTTGGCAGAGTCAAAGGACTCCCAGTCTGCGTCGGGGTAGCCGGGTAGATGGGCACCAACGCGCTCGGCGTACAGACCTCCTTCGTTGATAGGACCGCGAACGGGGTCAATGAGGTCGTTACGGCCAGCGGTGCCGGCAATCTTCCACTCGGAGAACTTGTAGTTCGCGGCGTCGGGGCCGAGCAGAGTCGCGTTGGTGATACCGCGGGGCGCGAGCGCCGCCTCACGCAGGTCGTGGCCCGAGTTATCCATGATGACGACGAGGACATTGTCGCCGGTCTTGGAAAGAGTCGCGTTCTCAAAGGAGAACGAGCTGGCGTCTGCTCCCAGGTAGGAGAGGCCGAGGTAGGAGCCGACGTACTCGGAGTTGAGCCAGACGGAGTAGCCGAAGGCCAGCCCGCCGGTGACGTTGAGGAAGACGCCAGTCGGGGCGGACTCGGAGGTCGGGAAGGTTGCGCGGTAGATGTGGTTTCCGACGTGGATGTCGTACTCGTCTACGTAGAGGACGGGATTGTTTGAGGCGGGCTTGACGGTGTTGGAGGTGTTTGTCTTGGTGGCAGCTGGAAGTTTGTTAGACCGTTTTCTCTCTTTAACGACACGACAAGATGTAATAGGTATCACTTACCGACCCAGCTGTCAGAGGTGGCTTCGTAATCAGTAGCGATCTCAGGCAAGCTGTCGTGAACCTTCCAAGGGCCGAGTGCGGGGACCTCGAACTTGGCAGGGCCCTCGATCTTGGCGGTGAAGACGTTACCCTCTCTCGAAAGAAGCTCGAGCTTCTTGCCGTTCCAGGTGATGCCGCAGATGGACTCGGAGGCAAAGACGGTGATGGTGGTCTCCTGGTCTGCGTCTCCAGAGAGCGCCAAGCTACGGCTAGTCTCGTTGAAGGCAGCGTGGCGGACGAGGTACGGTCCCTGAACAAAGACTGCACAAGTTCGTCAGTAAAATTGCAATTGATGCGTCAATAAACAAACTCACCAGTCTTGTTGGCCGGCGCAAAGGGGTCGTTGTCAAGCACGGGTACCCAGAAGAGGTACGCGGCGCTGCGGTCGAGCAGGACGGCGCGGGAGCCATCTCCGAGGTCGACAAGCGTAATGCCCTTCTTCTGCGTGTATGCGATGGTGACGTTGCTCTCGCCAGGGTAGACGTTGAAGTCAGCGACGTTGCCGTCGCCAACGAGCTTGGCAGAGTTGGCGCCAGTGACTGTGAACTCGCCAGCCTCGCCCTCAGGAAGCCAAAGGGCAATAACCTCTTGACCGTCGAGAATGGTGTAGCTGAGAACCTCGGCGGTGGAGTATAGGAGGGTCTTCTCGCCAAATCTGAAGTCGGTGACAAGGACCTTGGCTTGGTGGCCGTTGATGGCGATCGAGCTGCCGTGCTGGGGGATGGTGACTTGAGTCAAGTCAGCATTGATACGCAGAATTTGATGTTAGGTAGAAGGAAGACTTACGAGCACCCTGAGAGGTGTTGACAGAGAGCTTGAAAGCCTCGTTGGTGTTGGAAGGGGAGTATGCGTGACGGGCAATGTAGAACGCCGCGTTGTTGTCGACATTGCGGAGCTCAGACACGGTGATGGCTGAGTTGGTGGTGTATCCAGTGCCCTAGGGTACGTCAGAACCTCACTTTCCTTGCATCACTGCTTCACTTACGTTTCCGACTCTCTCAGTCTTTGTCAGATCCTTGGCCACTACGCAAAGGTTAGAATTCGTCTTGCATCCTTCAGGGGCGAACAATCTACGAACCTCTGGTGAACAGAGTCAAAAGCTTTGTCTCGTGGAACTTGCTGCCGATGATTCTGTTCTCGGATACCGGAGAAGAGTAGTCGTAACTCGAAGCTAGCGTTGAATTAGCATGAGTCGATCTCACACATACCATACGATGGCGACATGGACTTACCAACAACGGGACAAGCGAGCCAGCCCCAATTGGTTCCACCGAACATCATGTAAAGAGAGATTGCGGTGACTCTCTGGTAGATGAGATCGCGGTAGAAGATGTTGGCGAAATCAGCACCAATGTCACTGGGACAGCCGCCCTCGGGTCCGCCCCAGGGGTTGTAGGAACCGCCCTGGAACTCTGGAAGGAAGTTGGGTTGCGACCTGTAAGATGATTAGAATTCTGATTTGAGCGTGTTTCAACTTGGAATACTTACGGCGACTGAACTGTAAAGTAGGAGTAGTAATCTTGGGTCAGCTGCAAGTGAATTTATTAGCACGACACAGTAGTTGTGGTGGATTTGAGATACTCACGTAGGGGATATAAGCTCCGTTCGTGCCGGTGCACTCGCTCAAGTTGCAGCTCCAGCACGAAGGGTAGCTGTCGACACCAACGACATCGACGTTTCCAGTAGCATTGGAAAAGTCTTTGGACCATGAAAAGCCGCGCTAGATGGTGTCAGAAAGTGGGAGCACACAATTCTTCGAACAGATCCACTTACCATGTTGGGGGCGTTGTGAGAGAGGGGCACGTCGATTCCATTCTCCCGGGCGCTGTCCTGGAGAAGCTGCATGTAGTTGGCGATGGGCGGGTTCAGGACTCTCTTAGCAATATCCTTCCACTGTCCGTTGAGTTCGTTCTCGATCTGTGCTTCCACTTAGCAAACACGCTTTCGTAAGTTCTTGAGGATCATCGCATACCTGGAACATGATAACATTTCCGCCGTTGGTGATCAGATGAGGCTTGATGATCTTGGAAATCTCCGACCAGAAGGGGGTCCACGCCGCAGTGTATCTCTCGTCGTCGTTTCTCAGAGAACCGTAAGCGCCAGTGGTGGCCCAGAGAGGGAAGCCGCCGGCGTTAGTCTCGGCGTTGACGTAGGGTCCAGGTCTGATGATGAGGTAGATGCCTAGTTCCTTGGCGACGGTCATGATGGAGGTGAAGTTGTGAGCGCCGGTGTCAAAGTCCAAGACACCAGGCGTGGGGTTGTGGTAGCCCCAGTGGTTGTAGATGGAGAAGGCATTGAAGCTGTCGTCTGTGTGTTAGCCACGAAACGAACTTTTCCACTCCAGAGGGGAACTGTATCTTACCCAGCCGCCTTGACCTTTTCGAGGAGATCTCGCCAAAGTTCGGGACTTAAAGATGTGTCAGTAAACTTAGTACACTGTCGATGATGTTGAGTTGGATCACGAACACAGGGATACGCCAGTAGTGGAACTGCACTTGTTAGCGAGACGATCTCAACATGACATACGGGGAAGGAATCAGTTGCCATACCTCGCCAGAGAAGACGAAGAGTCTCTCTCCGTTCACAATGTAGCTGTGGTGGTCCCTGCGTAGAGTTCAGTCAGTATAAGACCAATGTTGTATCCGTTAACAAACTATGGGAATCTACCATTGGACGACCTCATTGAGACCGTTGTCATGAATCGGCCAGTCAACATCTTGAGCTAAGGCGCTCTGCGAACCACAAAGCGACGCGGCAAGCCAAAGAAGGCCGCCGGCTTTCAGACCAAACCTCATCGTGGCGTTCCTTTTTGACTATGGCTGAAACTTGACAGATGCAACACGATAGCCGAAAAAAAAGAGTCAAAAAGCCAACAGCCAATCGACAGACCGCGCGCGCAAGAGGAAGCCATCGCGTCTTCTTTAAAGGGCATCCTACTACCCTGCCAGTTCCCTGCCAACACCGACCCCCCGGCCCCATCTGTTGTACCCCGGCGCAGCGTAGCATCCGGACAAACGTGCTCGGTGTTGATCGAACCGACAACTGCGGGGAATCATGAGGGGGGAACCGGGGGGCAAAGAACTGGAGAAGACGATTTACGCAGTAGACGATCAACCACCCCCGGCCGCAACCCCCGCGATTCCTGTAGCCGCAGCAATCACTGACTCAAGGCACTTAAGATTGGTGAGCCTGATGTCATTGATTGCTTGGGGACTTTGCAGTAGCGTCTTGAAATTTTCGACGAGCCAATTTTAAGCGATCTTTTCACCGACGGGCATGGCTCCCGTTGTGCGCTGGACTGGATGACTGGTTGGTTTAGCGTGTTCTCGTGAGAGAACTGTGCCTTGGCAGCCAACACGGCCGGATATTAGGTCGCAACATCATGGGCCGACGGCCACTTTTTATGTCAATTCGGTAGGATCCGATCATCCGAGGTATGGTATAGAAGCAAAACATGCTTAAGTTACCTGCCTGAGTGACATCAGAAACTGATCAATCTCTCAATGAGGAGTGGGTATGTTGACAGTGACCGCCTGAACTTCTGAAGATGTTGGGCTCCAGTTCGGGCCGATCTGCCGTTGCGCGACATGCCGGACGAACACTCATCCATGATTCGATCCATGTTTGCGTTTAGCAAGACAATAGATTTGACTTTGGCTGATTCCGGTGGGATCCTTTTACCCATGAGCTGTCCACTGCGTGTTGGTTCAAACGGTTCATGCAGTCAACTCGCATTATTTCAATGCAGCAGTGGCACAATAGCCCACAAAGTCCATGGTCGGCCGACACTACATTCCTCCAATCTCCAAATAACATCACGCAACAACCCCTCATAATATTGGAGATCGTGTGCGGAGATTTGGGGCCATGTCTCCATCTACAGGAAGAAGTGTCCGAGTTGCCGACTTTGTGCAGCCTTAGTCTCTTTGAAGGCAACACTCTATACGTTTAGTAAATCATGCATAATCCAGGAGATCATTCGCTCAAGGGGATGATTGCGGCTACGATTGAGTACCTATAGGAGCTGCAGCAAAACTTCTTCAGTCCCCGAAGCTGACCTAATTGTAGCGACTCCTCACACCATCCACTACGCCCCAACTCATGATTTTGAAAAGAGCACGAGACTCTAGCACACAGGAGTTGCAACTGCGTACACAGTCCTGCACCCAATCTTATTACAAACATCAGCCTCTTCACACTCAAAGTCGACGGACGCAGTTGAGAGGACAGAGCAGCCGCAAGACTTTGTAATGGACGAAGTGGTAGTACATTGCGCGACGAAGCAGCTCTTGCAGATGGTACCGGTAGAGGTGACCTTGGGACAGTTGAGAGCTGAGCAGGGCGCCGTGGTCGTTCTCGTGATGGTCTGAGTGACGAGTGCGGTGGTGGTTGAGACTTCTCGCAGCGTCGTTGTCGTCGGGCTTGTCACGACAGCAGTCGCCGTCGTAGTGGCGGTAGTCGTGGTTTCCCTAGTCTCTGTACTCGTGACGGTGACTGTCCTGGCTCGATCTATCGTCGATGGGGTCAACGTGATGACTTGACCGGATGCTTCCCTGCATTAATCAGTCAGCAGAGTCCTCGATCTACCGTGCACGCGGGATCTGACCAAGCTGCCCAGCAAAGGATCATGCTAAAGAAAAGAAGCGAATGCATCTTTCGATCCTAGGTATCCAGCAGAAGATTTTGGAAAAGATGCCGACTCTCTGGGATTTGGAGTTCAGAGCAGGCTATGGGAGAGACTTCCAGTTTCCCAGAAGACCATGGTGACAAATTAATATTGATGCAATGCTTCGTCTCTCTTATAGTTAAAAGTCATTCCAGCAACGCAGGTTGGCGTTCACGAAAATGCGCAACCCCAATATACTCCAGTTGATAGTAGGTGCTTTAGCTGCTCTTGTCAACCATACTTATCCGGCTTCGGGACTCCTGTAACGTACAATACAACCTTGATTGACTTGAGCTACGAGCCGAGCTGAACAGAGGCAGCCTATAGGAAAGAAGAGCTGAAATCAAATCGTGTAGCCGAGTGTACGTTTGCTTCCAGCCGATACAGCTGCATGGCGGCTGAACGTGGTACTGCTCCCATGAGGGCGAATGCAACAGCAAAGATCCAATCAGCGCTGTCGTCCGAAACCCAACCTGCCGCATCTGGCAATTCGGAGCCAAGGGGTAGTGCGTGCAGATCGCCTCAGAAAACCACCTCCTCTACGTTGGCAAGGTCAGGCTGTGTTTGTAAGCCCCATCAGACGAACTGTGGTGCCATCTCAAATGCAACAATGCACGAATACGGACGCAGTGGTTGGCAAGTTTAGATTGGTCATTTCATCACGATTTTTCGAAATACGAGCAGTGAGGTCGAAGCTGTGCAGTACTGGTGCGACACTTTGAAGGGCAGTTCAGAAGATTGCCCAGTAGCCCTCAAGCAAAGCAAATACAACTATAATTCAACTGCTAATTGTGGTATATATATAAATGGCTGATTCAGAATTCAGCCGGCACTTCGGCCAGCTTAGCATCTCCAGGAGGTGATCTGGTTCTCGTACTCGACGGTGCGGGGGTCGTCGGGGAGAGCGACGGCCAGGTTGTAGTTGTAAGAAGAGGTCAGGCCACGGTCATCGCCCTTGTTGTTGCAGCCCTTGTACCTTTGGTGAATTGTTAGTATATCTTGTTGGACAATTTGGGGCTCATCTCAAGACTACTTACTTGTAGAACTGGCACTTGCCACCAGTGTTGGTGGAGAGGGAAGAGACCTGGTCGTTGAAGCGGTCGCTGATCGCGGTAGAGTTGGCGGCCTGGAAGTTGAAGTAGGAGACTTTACATACGAGTCAGCACTTATTCATCTCATTACGATTGCAGATTACGGTTACTTACCACAGTCGCCGGGGCTGGCGCCGAAGACGAGGCAGTCACCACGGAAACCCTATTGATGTCAGTACTGCTTCATAACCAGGCAAATCTCTCAAAGCTTACAGCATCGGTGCACTGAAGCACAAAGATGGTCTCGGGGTTGGTCTCGTTGCGGTTGGGGTCGGGCTCGCCGTCCTGGCGGGTCTGGAGCTGCTTGGGGGCCAGGACCTCGGTGTTGAGGAACTTCTCGTAGGCGGCAGAGTTGACAATGTCGTTGCCGATCTTGATGTTGAGGTCGGAGCCGGTGTTGCGCTGCGCAAGGGGCTTGCTGACGGCGGCGGCGGAGACGGCGGTTGCCGCGAGAACGAGAGTGGTGAAGCTCTTCATCTTGGATGGAGTTTTGTTTGTTGTTGGAAGCGAACGTGTGTAAGTTGGTTGTTGTAAGGAATGGACTCGTTGGACGACTTGCGTTGGCTACGGGAAATTTCAACGCCGAGCACACCAGGAGGCCAAAGTGAAGTGAGCCGGCTTTATTTATCTTGACATACTGTAGGACCGGATGTCCCGCAGTACCCAAGAGACAAAGTTTCGATCATAATAACCGCATACAACCTCATCCCAGCCTGCCCCGCGAGCGCCGATGCACTCGGATTCGGTGATATTGCTTTGTGGGTCTACTGATCATCTATTCTCGTGGCACAAACGGCCGCCGGAGGCATTCGAGTGGGAAAAAAGGGCGAGTTTTTGTTGGCCCGAGTGTTCCGTCAGGACCATTAATGCGTCCGTTGACGATTTAGACTTCGGAGAGTTAATATCGAGATGGGGCTCATCAGCGTCCCCAACTGCCGACATCCATGACAAGGTTTGGAGTTGCAAAATGAAAACAGTGGGAATTTCGAGGTCGCAAAGGGGATGAACAGTTTGAGGCGGACCTGTTCGACGACTCAGTGGGCTTCTTCAATCCGTTCATCTTACACAGTAGAGTGGTGTATATGTGCTGGCTCTGAGGTTTGTTTATTTGAATAAGGTTTTCGTCTGAACTAAGTCAACTGACTCGAAGATCGGACGGTTTAATAAGGATTCTCCCGCAACGTGAACCTAGAAAGGGGCCTGACTGCGAGGATGTTCACAGTTCCGCAGACAAGTTCCAGTCTTGGCTTTGGTTGTTTGGCCCCATTTTCTTCCATCACACCTATCCGTACGGACGCACTAGAAAGGAAAAGAATGCCTCAAATCGCGGGGAGAGGAAGGAAGTAGCGTCCGTGGATCTCGATGGACACTAACAAAAGTCTCCTAGGCTGGTGATCGTGGATCGTACTGCACTAACCTAACAGGAAGAGTATCAACCAGAGAGACATTCCAAGGATATGTTCCCTTGACTTTGGACCGCAGTCCAACTGCCAATCTGGGCAGTCGCTTTCGATGCGGCATGGATCTACTGCTCCGATAGACTTTCGTATTCAATGAACTTTTGCGCCCGGAGGGTGCCCGCCCGCCCGCCGGCACTGTTCTTCGTTTGCCGGCCTTGACGCGGCGGGAAAGTTGCCCAAACACGTCCCCGACAACGGTTCAACCGCCGTTCAAGCATTTCTTGGTAACTCGGGGGTTGCGGGACCATAGTCTATCATTAGCACACACTGACCACTCGGAGGATTCGACTTGTAGTTGTCTTTCCCACGTTTGCATCCGTACTTGACAGTGATCGGAATGATCTTTGGTCGTTGACATCCCGGTCGCTCATCAATCAAAGACCCTGATGGTTTGAGCTACTGGATCGCTGCGCATTGAATGTGTAGACCAAAGTCTCCGTATACCGTCTGTTACTTGTTGCCTTTCGGACTTTGCTCCGTTGGCTCTCATCTTCATCCATACGCCAATCAACTGCCGCATGGTGTAGGCAGATGCCCAACCGACTACAATTATTCGAATATTCGCGCAAGGGGAACGGCATAAGGTTGGATTTACTCCAACCTGACCCACCAAATCAAAGTCTCCAAAGGCTACTATCGTATCTCGGGCTCCTTGGATCCAACAGAAATTAGAGCTGGGTACCTGATGTACGGAGTGGTCCATGTGCCCGCCGGGCTGTAGCTGAGACCACCAGCCCATTTCAATTTATAGCTGGTCTTCCCCAGGTGCTTCTCCCCCTTTCATACACTTGACCATTTAGTTCCAGCAACACAGTTCCCATTTCCATTCTATTGGAAGCCCATTTTCGTCTCAACAGTATGTGAGTCTTGAGGTTTCTCTAACTCATAGGCAGACGCTTGGCTGCCTCTAGCCATCTCTTGACCACCAAGAACCGCACATACGACCATGTCACAAACATGTCAATGTATTCTACATCAAATGAGAGGCCCAGCGCATACCCACAGCTCTTTTAACGGTGTAAAAATTAGTTCCCATTGTTTCGATAATTCACCCATAAGGCTCTGTGGCGTTGCTGCTGGGGTCGTGGTAAGGAAAGCTGTCAGTTTTTAGTGGCCCGCTAGTTCGTGAGAGTTGATAGAGTTGGAGGTTGAGTTTCTTCTAAAGAACAGCCATCGCGGCGATCTAACTTCTTGAGACTCGGTAAAGGACATATGCAGCTTAGGAAGAGAGGGATAAAGACGAGGACTGCCAGTGGAAAGTGCTGAGCAGGAGTTTCATTCACCCAGCTTAGTCTGTCCAAAGTCATCGTGAACTTTAAAGGATTCCGGCCGAGTCCCAATTAGGAAACACGTACTACAGCTCATCTGATTGGCTGTCGGGATCGCCTCTCAGAGCAATAGAAACCTTTGATTGGCTTGTTGCATCAAAGGATTATGATCCATGCTTCCCTTAGATCCTCGGGATCCTCCGCATCAACTTCATGAAAGAAGCTCGTTATCTCACCTAGGTAGTCAGGGGAAACGTCATCTTTAAGATATTCTCAAAAATCCATACCGTCTTGAGACCTCCGGCTTTCATAACTCCTGCTTGGTTCTGCTGATGTTGATGTCCATGTCCTATCTTACCTTTCGACATTGTTGCCACCGCGTTGAGCTGCAGTACTTACCGATATCATGGGTACCAAAACCAGGTCACTCGAGCCTACGTTCGTGGTTCGCAGCTTCCAGGGCGCGCGTTCTCAACTTCAATTAGAATCGCGCCCGATGTCGAGAGCTTCGTCTCAAAGTACCGATAAGGGCGAAACAAAGGCGTAAGTACCTAGCACGTGAGAGACTGGTCTGTTAGATGAGAGGTGTCCAGGGTCCGTTGGAGCCGACATCGTTGGTACGAGCGTCTGAAGAAGATCGACCAAGGAAGAGCACGTGGCTTCATAGCAGGGAAACGGGAGCATCTCCCGTTCATTTATGGACCAACAACTGATCACTTCGGGTCTTAGAACTCCATCAAACGGCCAGCTTCACGTCTTCTCGCTTTCGAACCGACCCAAGCAGAGCCGTGCGAGCGCGCCCAAGACCCGGAATGGGTGTAAAGAATGCAGGTACGTTTATGTCGACTCTCTTATGCTCGTCTTTGATTCGCCCCCGTCCTCGTTCCTCGTAACCGTTCCCACCCTTGATGAGGAGAATACGGGTCTCACGTGGTGTCGCACATGTAGGAGACGCCACATCAAGTGTGACTTGGCCAGACCACACTGCATGAAATGCGTCAAATCAAACCGTATCTGCGAGGGCTACCTCGACTCGGGACTGCGTCTCACGACACAGAGACATAGTCAAGTCCATATCACTTCTCGTCCAGCCGGCGGCGGCAGCTGTGGCGATGGCGGGCATATCACCCTTACCACACAGCGCCGGACCCCCGACCACCGCGTCCTCATCACCCCGGGCTACGAGACGGCCCTCTTCCAGAACCAGCGGCAGTGGGACTCGTTCCAGTCCTTCATCGTGAACCTTGAGCAGGGCGCCACCGTGCTCAAGAACCACGTGGCGGAGATGACGCCGCAGTACGCCAACCACGAGATCGCCATCCGGGAAATCTGCTCCGGCATCGGGGCCCTCGGGAAAGCCTTCCACCCAGTCGTCGGCGACAAGCTCGTCAGCGCAGAGTACCGCGCCGCGCTGGAACACTACGGCCACGCCGTCAAAGCCGTCTTCAGCGTGAAGGCGACGACGTATACGCTGCCGTATATGGTGCTGACGTCGATGCTGTTCACCACGTTTGAGATGATGGCGGGGAACCCGGAAGCTGCGTCGAAGCATCATAACCATGCCGTGGCTATGATGGATCAGTTTATCAGTCTTCGGTTGGAGGAGGATGGCGTGCCGTTTGAAGAGGTTCGGCTTTCTGAGCTCGAGTCTGCGCTGTTCGATACCTTGCAGAGACTCGATACGCATCCGTGGGCACAGGGGTTCGGGCCAGAAGGGATCCGCGTCACGGCGCAGGCGCGCAACTTCCCGCACGGGTGCAGACACAGATACAGGATGGAAGACATGCCGTCGAGCCTCACCAACATCACCGAAGCATCGCGATGGTGGCATCTAACGCAGCACGCCATGATGCACTCTCTCCACGGTCTCAAATCCAAATCCCCCAACAAGCCCTCCGACGACCCCTCCAACGACGCCGCCATCTGGAAGGAGTCGGCTAACCTCCTCCAAACCTGGCACGCCAGCTTCTTCCCCCTCTTGCAAACCTCGCGCCAGCAACGAGACCGCAACCCGCACCGCTGGTTCCAAGCCATGACCCTCGAGTCCCTCTACGTCGAGAACCTGGCTGCCATCTACAAGCGTCACAGGCTCGACGCCAACGTCCTCCCCGCCGTGACGCCGCTGTACCGCGACATGATCGGCCACGCGCTGCAGTTGACGCGGAAGGAGAAGCTCAACGGACTGGAGACGCTGGTGCTCGAGAACGACCTCATCCGGCCGATGGCGTTTATAGTGTACAAGTCGCGGGCGGACCCGGAGATTATGGACGGGGTGACGGGCGTGTTGCAGGAGCTTGTGGGGGGCGTTGGTATGGCGGAGTCGTTGTTGTATGTTTTTGGGTGCAGAGAGAAGAAGATTCCTGTGATTGCGCTCGAGAGGGCTTGGGGGTGGTATTTTACGTCGTCGGGGGTTTCGTCTGGGGCGAATTGTCTCGAGTACCTGACTTGAGCGAGGAAGTATGTCGTCCCGGGTGTTAAGAAGACAGTTGGAACTGTACTTCTTCACTTGATACTGTTACCTTTTGACGATGGCAGAGGCCTTCAAGTAAGAGAAAGTAGAGGAAACAAATCATTGCTAAACTAAGAACTGGATATCATCTCGTCGCGCATAACACATAATTCTTCCAGCCCATCATATCTTCCAGCCCAGCCTCACTCAGCCCATCACAAACGTCTTCATTTCTCATCAAAAATCCCAGCCCTTCCCCCTTTTCGAACCAACAACATGAAATTTGCCCAACATGACGGTTCAGAGATCGTCAGACAATCCCGAGGTTACCATCTTTCCTACTTTCAGGGAAGGTTGTTCAACTTAATGCTGTTCTGCGAAGTCGAGTCCTTGCCAGCGTTGTAGTGTTCAGAGCGCTTCGCGTTCTCCTCCATACGGGCAAGTCTCGAGTTACGCTTCTTCTGCTGGCTCTTGCGATAGAAGAAGAGCGCGGCACCAATCAGCAGACCAACACCAGCGACGGCACCAATAACGATACCGGCAATCGCACCACCAGAAAGCTTCTTGCTTCCGCTGCTACCAGAGCTAGAGCCAGAGTTGGAGGCAGCGTTGGTAGACGAGGCGGAAGGCGAAGCCGTGGCGGCGATGTCGTCCTCACCGGGCTCGGTGGCGTTGAAGCAGGGGATGCGAGTGTTGAAGTTGGCGGCCTCGACGTAGGTGATGTCGGCGCAGGCGTAGAAGGTCTGGTTGTGGGGAGCGTCCCAGTCGGCGCGGTAGATGATTTGGAGGGTTGCGTTGGAGCCTGCTGCGACGGAGGAGGGCGGGTTAGGGACGTCGACGCAGGTGTGGCCTGGGTTCAGGTCCGAGACGGACTGTTCCTCGATGATGGTGGTGAAGTCGCTGTTGGAGGTTGGTTCTTGAGGGGTTTGTTAGTCATGTTGTGATGGGCAATAGGGGGTTGACAAGGTTTCGTGAGAGTCAAGGGGAGGTCAAGTAGACTGAAGTGCTTGTTTGTCGAGTTCATACACTCAAACAAAATAAAATGGCGAGAGTTTCGTAAACATACCATTCTTGTAAGAGATGGAGATCTTGCTGTTGTAGTAGTCATCCTGGGCAACAAGAGCGACCTTTCCACCAACTATTCATCGATACTCGTCAGTCAAAGGCTCACGCATCTTTTTGTCTTCATCAAGAACTTCCGTTCCGAGACTTTTGACTCACCCAAGGGGAAATTGGTTCTGTTGGCAGCACCAGACTTTGAACCACATGGAGCCTGGTTGTCCATGTCTCCGCTCCAGACTCTGTCAGCTGGCCACATGAAGGCAGCGGGACCCATCTCATCATCCTGCTTGGTGTGCTGGGCACAGGCAACCGAGGCGAGGCCCAGGGCCAGGAACGTCTTGAGGGAGGCGTGCATTGTTGCTGCCGTGATGTGGGCTTGAATCAAAAAGAAGCTTTTTCGATAACAAGACAAGAGACGGGTATGCGGCAAAACACGCGATGCCTTGGACCAACAGAGTGCGTTACGAAAGAGATGCGTACGACGACTGTGGAGGGGGTGGTGGGAAGAATTAAGAATTAAGGGGGCGGCTTAACTAGCATAAGATCCTTGGGAACGAACCGGATGGCAACAACGGTCAAGTTATACTACTGCAGGTCAACCTGAGATTTTCTTCTCTTCGCCTTTGCAAGCCGACTGGTTGCATATTGCATGTAACCTGGATGATGGATCTATCTCACATGGTCCTCTTTTCCCCTCTTTGGGTTAACCTTACACCAACCACCTCCGCTCACACATGTCAACGGAAAGAAGATGGGTTCACAGAAGTCACGAAGGGCGGGATATCCGCCCAGAGAGGGAGGATCCCGCCCAGAAGATAGTGAGGGGAAAAAAAGAAGTCAGGCACGAGTTCAGTTCAGGCTTTCGCCAATAGTGCCCAGACAACCCGCGCCCAGGACATGGCAAGACTTGGCTGGATCCCGTTGGATGGGGTGGTGGGAGGAGGCCACGGCCGCATGGATGAAGGGTGGTGGCGACCACGGAATTCTTTTGCATGGAAAAAGGTCTTGGGAAGTACCACTCAAGTCTTTCATAGATTCCGTAGATTGATAACATAAACAGCGGAACTTTTGGGGAGGAGTATGAGCAATAAGGTCTGGTATCTAGATGGATTGATGGCCAAGAATGTGGACGGACAGGGAAGACCGCCGGGCGGCAAAAATCTGGGAACATGAATACGAAGCAGACAGAAATCAAACCCCCGCCCCGCCTCTATCGATTTTCTCTCTCTCGCTCGGCCGCCGAAGGGGCCGGATACGTTCTTTGTCACTTTGTGAGGGGATCAAGTGCCCAGGCAATTACTGTAGATACCATCGCGACAAGTTCCCTTGGCGAACAACCAGGTTGCAGAGTAGCGTAGGAATGGTTGCAACTCTAGGGTGGTGAGATAGAGGGGAACGAGGGATAAACATGCTTGAAGTTCATTTATCGTGTATGCCACATGTACCTCTCAACATGGACACAGTAAGTAAGGACACACACAATCAAAGTTTCGAAAACTCTTTTTTCCCCTTCACCAAGAACCGTAAGTAGTTTATCAGATCACTTTGTCCAATCAAATGAAGCCATCCGGCCCGCTTGTGCCTCTTGGCAACATGGAGCAATATATCCAAACAGGGAATGGTTCACCGGACGTGGATGTCTGCCATTGTCTGGGTGGCACATAGTTGACAATGGTTGGCAAAGATTGTTGGCTGATGGCTGGATGGGCTGTCGTTTAACTGATGTGATTGATAAGATTAGATGCATCCTCAAGATCCGCAGCGCTAGGTACTTTTTACCTTGCCTCACCTTGAACCCACAACTTACTCTCCGTCTCCTCCAGTCTCCTCCTCCTCTTCTGCCCACCCCTGGTCTGGTCTGGGTCTGGGTCCTCCTCCGTTCTCCGCTTCAAAAGGCCGCCCGTCGGTTGTTAACCCTAATTAGCCCGGACGCAGCATGGATGGACATGGATGAATCCTCGCAGAACGTCGACTCTGTCCGACCTCGCCCGCAGAAAGAGAACGAGAGGCCCCAACAAGGATCGCGATTCATCCTACCACTCACGCAGCTCGCGCAAGGAATAAACGCCTCCTCACGCCACGGACAGTCATATCCCACAGGGCCGCCCAGCCATTTCTCCCAACTCCACACCTCCCCGATCCCCCAATCACGTACACTGCTCAAGGTGACTGGTCCCTGACTCCCAAGACCACAATAGACGAGCCCGTCGACGATATCGGTGAGGCACAGGCGCGCCGCCGCACATACGGACGTCGGAAAGGCACTAGAAGACTACTAAGTAAAACGGTTGCCACGGATCAGACAGCCCGTTTTGGGAAGGCCGATTCGTGACGTTCGCTCCTCTCTCGGCCAAACCGCATGTTTTCAGCCCTTGGCATCAGCCATCAGGTCACCCATTGCTGGTATTTCCGACTTCCGGGAGGGACTCGCTCTCGGACTAACGAGAAGACATTGCTGATGAGCGAGCAAGTTATCATCGCCATCAGTCAGTCTTTCTTCTCTGGAGTTACCCGCTCTACCAAACGGTGAGAGTAATAGAGCAGCCGGGCAATGGCCGACGCCATCCGCTTCAGTCCATTCTCTCCTCCATCTCTCCCCGCCAAGATCCTCTTCTCTGCTCTTCGCTCATACTTCGGGGCTCTAGATTCCTTCTGACTCCCATGTCCCATATCCCCAGTCTCCGAGCCTCCACCCCTCCTTCTCGATAACCTCTTTGTCAAAGGGGCCAAGACCCAAGGGTCGCATCCGTACCATGTATGTACACTTAGAGTTGCGTTGGTTCGGCGGGGTACTCTCCTCCTAGCCTCCTCTCTCACCCAGTCATTGCCTCCTCCTCTCGACCTCCACTTGAGCTGCAGTTGCCCATGCCATGCCAACGACCACGCATGACAAGGATCTTTTGCCTTGTCTTTTACCTTTGGTACGAGCTTTTTTTCTATTCGGCATCCCGCAAATTACACTATGAGCGCGTTGGGTTTACTTCGGCGATCCGGGGCAAATCCGAGCTTCCAAGATCGGATACTTGCTCTTCGCCCACTGGGCTCTGTTAGCTATCCCATCATCCATGGAGTCTATACGAATAGTCCCGCGCTCTTTCAAGTCCCGCGCGCGCTACCCTGCTCCGCGGACCGTTGACTTTGGACTACCTTATGTCATTGCCTTGCCTTGCCTTGCTTTGACATGCCTTGCCATATCCTGTTCAGATCCCGTCGTATTAACCCCCCTTACACGCCCGTGGGCCATCGCTCTACCCTGGCATAGGTCTTCCAGCTGATGGATACTCTCATCGGCCAAGCTGGACCACGGAAGAGGCCGACATGAGCATCCATTCCCTGGGGTTTCCACATTCACAGGCCGGGAAAGCCTAGACTGAATCTGATGCCTGCATGCTCGCCGGCTCTCCTGTACCTGATCCTGTACCTGATTTCCCGTGCCTGACTTTCCCCTATTACTTCGTACCTCATGTGGACAAACAACAAAGCCATCATAATCTATAATAACCTCTTTCGCCAACCTTCTTTCATCTCGTTCCCACCCCCCTCTTCCCTCCTCACGCTCGCTTCCCCAAATCCACAACTTGACTGCCATTAAGACAATTCTCCTCCCCATCCAGTCTTCCTCCCACAAAGCATCTTCGAGTCCAACAACTTACCAAACTCACCCCTAATACCAACCTTCAAGATGCGTTCATTCGTTACCTGCACCGTCCTGGCCACCGTCGCCTCCATGGCCGTCGCCCAGGTCCACCCTCGCTTCGAGTACCCCGACTCCGTTCCCGCCGTTGAGAAGCGCCAGGAGCCCGGCACTCCGCGCTACCAGTGCCACGAGGACTGCGGTAAGTCTATACTTATTTCCTTCTCCCTTCTAAGTAAAGTACGTGACCCAGGATACTGACAACCACCAGGTCTCCTCATCACGCTCGGCCGCCAGGACGGCTTCTGCACCAACTCGGAGTGGAACGAGCGCTACGGCCGCTGCATGAGCTGCGCAAACACCTACGCCATCTGGATGTACTACTCCTCCGGCGTCACCTCCGCTGCCGCAAAGTGCGGCCTCTCCCCGACCCCCAGCCCCTCCGGAGGCGCCGTCGAGACCACCGCCGCAGCTACCAGCGCCGCCCCCGCCCCGGCTACCACCACTGCCGCTCCCGCTCCCGCCACCACCACCGCTGCCGCGCCTCCGGCTGCGTCTTCCAGCTCTGCTGTCGCTGAGTCCTCGGCCCCTGCTGCCTCTACCTCGGCCGCCGGCGCCCCCGCCACCACCCTCTCCACCGCCGCCTCTGCCTCTGGCTCCGCTTCTGCTTCCGCTTCCGGCGCCGCGACTACCTCTGGCGCCGCTGCCGGTACCTCCGCGGCTACCGTCACCCGCGTCACTTCCATCGGAACCTCTGTCGTTATTGTATGTGTCGCCTGGGCCTGGTCTATGATGTAAATGTTTTGGTGTTCTTTGTTTGTTAACGTGGTTTCTTTTTCTTCATTGTAGCCTTCCGGAACCGCCACCCCCAGCACCCCCGTCTTCGCCGGTGCCGGCAAGAACGCCGCTGCCATGGGTCTCGCCGCCGTCGGCCTGGCCCTCGCTGCCTTCTAAGGGAACTTAGTATCCTTTGGGAACGATTTGATGGAAAGAAAGCTTTTTTGAGAGGAAAATGTACATAGGCGAAGGATGCCAACCAAAAACTTTAATATTCACCGGAGATATGGTCATGTTTATGGATGTATGATAGCGAAGATCTTGTTATTATACGATTGGAGATAGTATACTACAACCTAATGAGTCTCCATTACATAGTGTGCTGATGTGGTGTGTTGAGTGATAATCGTTTGGCTGTTATTTGAGTGAGACTTCCTCGTAGACCAAATGTCAACATAAAGCGATTCATGCTCAAGACAGGTAAACATGGCCTAGACGGGGCCAGTATACGCTGAATCCAGCTTGAGTCAAAGGCACACGATGAGACATGTCTCTTTGTATAATCAGATTGATAAATGTAAACTCAAAATCATTTCTCCATATATGGCGGTGTGCATATATGTTTGTTCATGTATGACAGGTATTCATATGCATGTGTGTATAATTTTGTTCGCTCAGATGACGTTTACTCATCTCGGTTTCCCGCATTGGAACCAGAATCCTCAACGTTCGACTGCTTATCAGATTCCAAAACACCGTACCTAGTCTCACATTAGCACACATTCCAACCAAGGGAGAGTTCTCGTCATAGAAGCAAAAGACATACCAAGAAATGACAGCCAGACCCATAAACGCAGCCACGCAGCTGAAAAACATGGCAACGTAGCCTTTGGGCGTGAACCCCTCAGGCAAAGGTCCCACAGGCCTGTTCTCGCCCGTGAGATCCAGCACGTCCTTGGTGTTACCAGCCGCATTACCCTTAGTCGGCACTCCACCGGCGTGGCACACCTCAAGATGGTCCTTAGGTACCTCCAGCCCCTGGAGGATATCAGGTGCCTCGATAATGGTCGCAATGAGCCCTTGGTCCATGTGCCACTCAATATGGCAGTGGAAGAGCCACACGCCCGGGTTGTTCGCCTTGAAGCGGATGACAAAGTTACCGTTGCCCTCGACGATGAGGGTATCGCGGCGAACCGGGTAGCGGGGGAAGCTAACATCGCTATCGTTGGAGAACGCGCCGGCGTCTTCCTCGGAGCGGTGGACGACCTGGAACTGGTGGCCGTGGAGGTGGAAGGGGTGCTTGCCGTCGTCTTCGTTGTTGAGGACGATTTCGATGATTTCGTTGTGCTTGAGGACGTGTGCGATGGAGTTTGTGCCGTAGACGCGGGGGTTCGCTGCGTTGTCGGCGCCGACGGTGAGGGCGCTGTAGAGGGAGGGGACCTTGGGGAGGACGTAGGTTTTGTCGTTGAAGAAGGCGCTGAGGGGGTGTTAGTTGTACTGTTGTTTAGTATAGAATTGTTGTAAACCTACTAGTTTGCGCCGTCGGCGAGGTTGTCCATCTTGACGGAGAGCTCGAAGGAGTAATCGACCTTTTCGTAAATCTCCTGCTTGTCATAGGGAACCAGCTCAAAGTCGTCAAAGGGGTCGAACTCGTCGACGGTGGCAGGCTCGGGCAGGGGCTTCTTGTCGTCGTAAACGAGCCAGCCGGTGACGTTCGAGTCCTGGCCGTCGGGGATGACGTCAAAAAGCTCCTCGTCCATGGAGCCCACAATGGCAAAGTTCTCCGAGGCGTCCTTCTTGGTGGTCAGGAGCACGCTATAGCGCTGGGCGGGGGCGATGTAGAGCATCTCGGCCTCGGCCTCGTCGGTCCAGACGCCGTCGACCTCGACGACGCGCAGGGTGTGGCCCTCGAACCAGATGTACTGGGAGGCGAAAGCGCCAATGTTGACCATGCGGATCAGGTAGGTCTTACCCGGCTGGACCTTGACCTGGAGGTTCTGGGTGTCGTTGAGGAGGGCGGCGTTGGGGACGGGCTCGGCGCCGGTAGGGTTCTCGACGCTGATGAGCTCCTTGATGAGGGTGCGGGTGGACTGGTGGTACCAGTCGGAGAGAGTCAGGACGAGCTCCTCGTCATACTTGCCCTCGTAGGGACCCTTGGGGTCATGGATCAAGAGAGGACCGCGGAGACCTTCGGGGTAGGTTCCGTCGTTGTGCGCGTGGTACCAGTAGATGCCGACTTGATCAAACTGTAGATGGCATGGGTATAGGCTTGTGTAAAGAGTCTATAAGGAGAGCTTACCTTGAAATCATAGGTAAATGAGGAACCAGGGGGGATGGCGCACTGGGTGACACCGACGGCGCCGTCCATGTGGTTGGTGCCATTCTGGAACAGGCCGTGGAAGTGAAGACTGGTGCTCGCGTTGCCGAGGTGGTTGTGGACGGTGAGAACGAGCCTATCGCCCTTTGTTGCCTCGATGAGAGGCAGAGGCCACTGGCCGTTTACGCCAATGGTTGGCTTATCAAAGGCGCCGTCGGGGTTGGAGAGAACCCATCCAATGTTCCAGTCGAGCTCGATGGTCTTTGCCAGGGCGGTTGATATGAGAAGCGTGAGGGCGGCGACTCGGGCCAAGATGGCCGATGTTGAGGATGAGAAGGCCATGGTGGCCGGGGTTGCTTCCGGTGTGGTAGTCCGACCTTATTCAGTGTACTTATTTGATAGTGGTGGTGGTTGTGGTGCCCTTTTGGCGCGGCTCAAAATGCCCTCACAAGTCTCAACTCAACACTAGACTCTAGAGACTAAACACGAGTTGAGTCTATGTTGCTTCACTTTGGTTGATATGCAGTCTCGCACGGGCGTCCAGATGCGCGAGAGGTGGTCGTGATTCATAGACTCGTTGGAAAAATCCCACAAAAAAAGCTTCTACGAACCGGGCCGAGCGCGGAGGAACATTGGACGTCCGAGACTTTTTGACAGCGGGCGGCGGCGATCGAGGGAGGGGTGGGCAGCTGTACTCCGCAGTATAACTTTACGGAATACACCAGACGCGAGGGCTCGGAGAAAAGAGCAAGTGGAAGCGAGGAGGGGAAACTCGCTGGTGAGGAGGGGAGTGAAAGATGAGTTATTACTTGACTGCGTGGTTGGGGGATTGAGTGTGAGGACTGAAGTGAGAGTGAGAGTGAGAATGAAAGTGAGACACACGTGGAAAGGGTCGTGTCGCCTGATTGAAAATTGCACAAACGAATGGATTGAAATCTTGGCGATCTGATAAGGAAAAGCCGCCGTTGCCTGCCCGGTCTTTCCCTGAAGAGTACCCGCTATTTGGTGGGGGGACTGCCTGAAGTGTGTCGCCGGTGGGCGGATTGAAGGGGAGGTACTCCGTTCTGGGGGGGTTTATCTGATCCTGAGGATCGAACACGACCACTACAGCAGTGTTACAGCGTTGTGCCCCCTGGGTGAAGCCTGTCAGAGATGAACCCGCACCGACGCCAGCGCACCCGTTCCCATGGCCAGGTGGCTCAGTCAGCAGGCAAAACCCCCCGAGGACCCCTGCCCCACTCACATCACCGCACTCTTTGTGCCAAAAGAACCTGAAGGATCCAACCTGGAAAACCTAAGACTCGGCTTTACGACGCCAGCCGAGATCGCTGGCGCGATAGACGACGGTGAAAATCGGCGGGGGCCAAAGTGGCAGAGAAAAAACTCGGAATCCGCACTCTCACGCGACACCATCACCTCGGCGCCCCGAAGCCACCACTTCCTCTCTCTCTCCGTCTCGTTGATCCTCGACTAAGCCCCGCCCGCGTGCCCGTCCCGTGTGCGTGTCATTGCTGGGTATTGTCAGTGTCATCCGCGACTGTTTCTTTCTCGGCAGAGCCGCTTAATCCTGCCTCAAATTCATTCTCGGTCACGTCCCTTCCCACCTCATCGTCGCCCGATATTCAGCACCACCACCATCACCAAATATTGCGGCTCTCAATCCTGCAATGCCCTTGAGACGTGAAGCAACGCTATAACATTATCGCCGTCTTCCATCTCACTGAAGAACGTTCATCCTGCTCTACACACTTAAACGCTACAGCCGCATCTTAAGCGCAGCCGCGCCTCATTTTCACTGGGACATTATCTCTCATCTCATTCCACACCAAGTCGCCACTCATCTCAACCTCGCTCACACACTCAACGAGCACATCACAACCACAAACTCACAATGGAGGACCTATTCTCACTCCCCAGTACGTAACCCCTTATCTTCATTATTGTCACCATCATAAACTTACAAAACACAGTCTTCTTCATCACCTTCCGCGAGTCCCTCGAAACCGCCATCATCGTCTCCGTCCTCCTCGCCTTCATCAAGCGCACCCTCGCCACCAAAGATGACCCCGTCCTCCACCAAAAGATGGTCAAACAGGTCTGGCTCGGCACCGCCGCCGGCCTCGTCACCTGCGTCGTCATCGCCATGGCCATCATCAGCGGCATCCACTCCCTCGGCGCGGAGCAGTTCGCCGCCGCAGAGAGCATCTGGGAGGGCATCTTCTCCCTCGGCGCCTCCCTTATCATCACCGCCATGGGCGCCGTCCTCCTGCGCGTCACCAAGCTGCAGGACAAGTGGCGCGTGAAGCTGAGCAAGGCCCTGAACGCGAGCGAGTCCCATTCGGGGCCCTTCCGCGACCGCTTGAAGTACCTCGGCGAGAAGTACGCCCTGTTCTTGTTGCCATTCATTACCGTCTTGCGTGAGGGTTTCGAGGGCGTGCTCTTCATTGCCGGCGTGGGTGTGAGCGAGACTGCTGCATCCATTGCCATTTCGTCTATTCTCGGTCTTGCGCTTGGTGCCTTTGTTGGCTACTTCATCTACAAGTGAGTTTAATCGCGGTGATTCTTGACCTTGTGCCGCATCCGTACTGACTTTGTGGAAAAAAGGGGCTCCAAGACGGCACCGATCCAAATCTTCCTCATCGTTTCCACCTGCTTCCTGTACCTCATCGCCGCCGGTCTCTTCTCCAAGGGCGTCTGGCACTTTGAGCAGAATGAGGTAAGCAACCTCCCGTCCCTAATCACAGTTGCTAGGTGATACTAACGCAGAAATCCAAAGTGGAACAAAATCGTCGGAGGTGACGCAGCAGAACTCGGCTCCGGCCCCGGCTCCTACGACGTCCGCAGAAGCGTCTGGCACGTCAACGTAAGCCCCCCCTGAATTCGCCAATCGTTACTATCAACATACCAAATTCTGACACAAAACGCAGTGCTGCAACCCCGACCTCAACGGAGGCGGCTTCTGGGGCATCTTCAACGCCGTCCTCGGCTGGCAGAACTCGGCCACCGTCGGCTCCGTCGTCTCCTACAACCTCTACTGGGTCGCCGTCGCCGCGGGCTTCTTCGCCATGATTTGCAACGAGAAGGGGTACTGGCCGTTCGCCGGCAGCAAGGCCAAGAAGCTCGCCGACGAGCACGAGGGCGACGACCAGGAGCCGCTTCTGAGCAGGCCCGCTCGGTAAGTTTTCCGACTCGATTCGGCCCCTCGGCGGACGAAAGCTGCGAGACTTCTGAGTTTCGCAATTCCCAATGATGCACCGAAAGAGGAGATGTGACTCCCAAAGGCGACTTAGTATTTTGGATTATGTACAAAGTGGTGAAGCTCCGAAAGCGCCTTGATCTAAGAAAAACTGGAGATGATAGTTATTTATCGTTGCTATATATTGTATATACGACTACTTATGTATCCAAACCTGCAAGTGTTGATGACTTGGCCCTGACCTGACATTTCTCTGTAGACTACTTTCATTTGGATTAGATGCGTCTGCCGGCCCAGCAAACAGACCCAAGCTGGCCTGATACGTCGTGCTTTCCAACGAACAACTCCTTCCCCGGCACTATATTCATAGACGGCAGGTGATTGTGAAGAGTAATGTAATGATAGCGCTGTGATTGCCCCCATCTTCTTTCTTCTTTTGTCCTTCTGTCCTCGGCTCAATGACAATCAGGTGCCAGATTCAGGACGCAATGTCGTATAATAGCTCGTAATTCTCATGTGTTCGTTCCTGTATCATTACTGTATCACCATGTCTTGTAGGTCTCTCGACCATACCTTCTCTTTCACCATAGCACCCTTTTCCCTCATCTAGAGTAATAGAACTTTTGGTTCGCAGGCGTATCATAGATAGTCCTCCTCAAAGGACTCTCAAACAAACCCCGGATCGCATTGATGTCATACCCGGCATCGATAGCGAGCTGAAGCATAATACGCGCCTGTTCGCCGCCGAGGTAACTCGAGTAGATCCTAATTGCAACTTATGTCAGCGAATATCCGAGAGCAAGGTTTCTCAGAACTTGGAGGAGGCGCAACCGCATGATTGGCTTCAGTATGGTGAGGCTTAGGGGACTTCACGTACAGCGGCCCGGGAAAGGGACTCGGAACGCCGGTGCCGGTGACGGGTCGCGCGACGGCGATGGTGGGTATCCCCCGCTGCTCCAGCAGGTCCGCGGCCGCGGCTCGGGCGCTGGGACTCACGGCTGCCGCGCCGGGTCCGAGAATCACCAAACCCCTGATAGCGTGGACATCAGCTTCTAGTCGGTTTCAGCGATGTCTGCTCAGGGATGGACTTACTTTGCGCCGTTGGCGACAGCAGCATGCATCAACGAAGCATCAAATCCCTCTACAAAACTCTGCTGTCAACTTTCTTTTCTTCCTCCATGTACCAAACCCTCTCCTCGTGCGGGGGAAGTTATCGGGCAGACTCAAGATTGAAAGACAACTCACGATGACCGTAAACAATAATCACAGAAGGCAGCTCCGTCACACCCGTGACATCAAAATAAGGCCGTCCTGTCGGGTACGCCGGGTCGAAGAAGTAATACGGCTGCCCCGCGAGAAAGGCTCCGAGAATTCCCTTGCTCGAGGGCCTTGAACGTGTCTGGTGTGTTTGCGTTGACTTTGGTGGAGTAGTAGATTGAGGTGATTCTATTTCAGGTGTCTTTGTCAGTCGAAACTGATTTCCCTTCAGCCTTATTCCTTGCTGAAATGCCTCTTCCGGCTGATCAGGGGCTGTGTGCTCAGTGTAATGGACACGTTTTTAGAGAATTTACCTGTCGTTGAAGGCGATTAGGCCCCCTCGATCACGCGAAGAAGGCGAGGCAGCAGCCGCAACAGCCTGGTAGAAATTCGCGTGTCCGTCAGGAGAGACATACGTATCAGGTCTCATGGATCCCGTGGCGACGAACGGCTTGGAGCAATTAAAGGTCAAATCCACGCCGAAAGCCTAGTATCCTCTTCATCAGCCAATATCCCCCACAACCCACAGACATGGATCACAAACCGTCTCTTCCAACGTATTCGTTCCATGAAACATAATAGCACCAGCTACATCACTCCCCTCGGCACAAATCTGTGCGTTAGCAAGCTGGCTGATATTCAAATACAGCGACGAATTCAACCCCGCGCTGCCGCCGGGGGCATCGAGTTCCACGACGGCGAGCTGAGCGACCTTGAGGGCCTCGGAGACGTTTCCGATGAGGTCGTAGGGCGTTGGGGAGGCGCCGGCGCCGTAGGCTATGTTATCTAAGCGGCTATAGTTTGAGGCGGAGAGGATTGTGCCGCCTGCGCTGTAGATGCTGTGTTGGGTTGGTTAACTGGGTGCTAATAAGAGTGCTTGTGGGAGTGCTTATGAGGGTTGGGGAAAGACTTACATCACTTTTGGGAGGGATGAATCTGTTGATATCCAGTCCAGATCCCATGCGTTTGTCGATGAAGACCTGGTGATTGGGGAGGCGGACGTTACCGTGGCCAAGGCCAGCGCCGTGGCGAGGAAGTTGGGTAGCATTGCTGTCACGGGCAATTGCTGTTACGAGGACTAGGCTAGGTCACTACAACTACTTTGCAAGTTGGGAAGATGTTGGAGAAGGTAATTCCTCCACTATATTTGATGGATTCATGGCTGCTTTATACGCCGCTAGCCAAGCCGACGTATCACTCTCGTATGTACCAAGACTGCGCGGTTCTGATGGAATATCATCTATGCAGCGTGCCATCTTTCAATTGGTTGGTAGTCTGGATCTTTTGGAGCCCTGAGAATCGCCAATGATGAGTCCCTACACGACGAAATTGGGTGTGATCTATCAGTAAACCCAAAATCTTATCTCGGCTCATGTCGCCGACGGCATGACCGGGACTTTGTGGGGGGTGATACTCCAAATCAGCCGTGGGAGGACTTGGCAGATAGGCTGACACTGAGAACCAGATCTGTTTTTCTCTTCTCTCTTCTCGATTGTATACATGTAGTCGAGAATATATATAGAACCTTGAATAACGCTATCAGTACCCATGTCGGGCACATCAGCCGGCTGCAGATATGCTTATCCCGGAGGAGCATCGGGCGCCGTCCGGGTGGCGTCACGTTGCGGGGTAGCGCGGGGTCCTGGGAGCGGGGGCAGCAGACGCCTGAATCGCGCGGGAAAGCTCCGAAAGCCTGGGTTCACGGCGTGGGTTGCATATCATGCTTCTCTGTTTTTATGTGGGATAGATGCGCCTTTAGGTTTCTCTCCCTCGCTCTCAGGGAAAGAGGTTTCGCTTTCTCGTCGATGCAGCAGCGGTGAGGACGTAGAGAGACAACCCATGTTCAACCCGCAGTTGGGTCAGGATGTGAGCATGGCGCGAACAACCCTCCCATCGTGCTAACATCTCGAAGTTCACTTGGAATATACGACAATCATTCGAGCAAAACAAACATGCTATTCGCTAGGATCAAGCACAATCTACTACACAAAATAACGCTTCAAAACGTGAATCATACTTTCGTACCCGCCCCTTCGAAACCTTCAAGCAGCACCGCTCTTCTTCTTCTCAGCCTCACTCGCAGCTCCGAAACCCAGTGCCTTATTCAGGAGAGTATCTACCGTGGATGATAACTCTCCCTTTGGCTTGCCCTTGCTGCGAGTACCACCGGCGCTCTCGCCGCTGCTTCGATTCGTTCCTCCCGAGCTATTCGTGTCTTTGGTCTCCTCAGAGAGGTTTCTGTTTAGTCTGACCGCTATTTGTCAGCATGGAAAGTTCCGAAAATCTCCGTCTCTTTGCTTTGCACTATTGAAGGGTTGGTTTACTGTGTCTCATTGTGTTGCTCCATCTTCGCTACTACGGGCGCTGGCGCTGGAACTTGCTTGATAGTGGGTGGTGATTGTTTGACAGAAGTAGCACGAGCGTGTCTACCGGCCCACGGATCGGTTTGTATGAAATTTGCGAGGGAGTCAGGCATCTTAATGCTCACTGCCTTCATGAAAAGCGTATCCATTGTGACGTATATTGAGATGTTTGACAGCTTCTTGATATTCGCGGCGTGTGGCGGATTAAATGGGCACGGGTCCCGTAACTACGTAACACCAATACAAGAAATCATGCCCGGGCCATCATTCCCTTTTAAACTCCCCATGAGAATTGCAATCAATTGTACGTCATTCAGGGTCCGATGTACGCTGATCCAACAATGGCACCACCATCGGGCTGAGAACAGGGATGTATAGAGTATCGGGCTGTCTGGGGATTCTGACCGTACCAGGGATATCGCAGTTGCGCTTCGTCACGCGCCATATCATCAACGCGAGCTGTCAACTATATCCTTTTCTCGCAGATAATCTGCCCCATGAGTCCATAAGACCAAGCCATCTTTGGAAGTTCACATGGCTCATCGTGGCCGTCGTCCTGCAATACGAAGCTCGGCTCTTCATCAAGACGCCGGGTCGTCATTATCACCCTTTCCACCTTTATACTCGTAAATGAGGCAGCCGACTTTCTTCCTTCCACCAACACCGCCGTTGCCTTTACCTACATGTCAGAAAATAAGAGCGTCAGTAACATTTTATAATCCGTGATCATAAGCAAGATAGACTTGCAAACACGCCTTGGCAAAAAACCCAAATCGCAGATTGCCACGACAATCGGGGGTGCCCAAAATGAAGAAAACTCACACTCATAATGCGTAGACCCCATGATCTCATAACACCCCGGCGTCCACACGGGGCCCCCTTCCTCCCCCAACGGGCGCTGCACGCTCTGTTTCCCGACGGTCACCCTGCAGCCCGCCTCCCACCAAACTCTAAAGTCGTGGTTGACTCCGTGCCAGTCCCGGTACCGCCAGCTCGCATTGCGGGCCAGGCGGCCGTTGCCGTCGTGGTAAGCGGGGTTCGTCGGGTCGTCACTCGCGTCGAGGACCTGCGTCGTGTCGTAGCGCTCCTGGCAGAACTTGTAGACGCCCTCGAAGAAGAATTTGGGCTTAATGTCGGCGTGGCCGCGGAATTCGGCTTCGTCATGGCATTCAACTGGGTGCATTTCGGGTTCGCGGACGGGGGTGAAATAGGATCGTCGGGCGTTGTTGGGGGTGGAGGTGTGGTTGGTGACGGGGACTGGGTTAGCTAGGAGGCTCGTGATCAAGGTATGTGTAAGAAGAAGGTAAAGATTGATAGGACGCATGGTTCATTCGGAGCTCAAAAGAGTGATGCAGGACGTTGATACATGAGAATTATGATTTACAGTTGGGAGAACTGAAGAGCTCTTCATGTTGGTCCACGTTGCTGGACGTTGTACTTTGTGGTATATATGAGCATAAAGGCAGACTGTCTTGGGAAATTGATGAAAGGAGTTCATTCTTGAATCGAAGGGAGCGTCTGGCTCACCGAAGGAGCTCGTGATGCGAAATCATAGTATCAGCTACAATCAATGGGCACTTGGCGAAGTACAAGAGCCGTTTGCGACATCCTACACAAGTCCCAGTCTGGCAACGATACAGAGCCCTTGAAAGACTCAGCGACTTGAGCCAAGGCTGTCTGCTGAAGCCCGGATTAGACCTCATTGTTCTCGCTTTCTTGACGGGCTCGCCCTTTCGTGACACCAGGCGTCGCCCACACCACCCTCTTACATAAGGTGCAACTCTCACTGAAGCGAATTGATGAGCGAGAAGCTCTGTATTTGAAAGTCAAAGGCCAACACGGACTCGAATGCGGCTTCTCCTACGGTCTTGGCGCAGCTGCTCAATTGTGTTTATCCCTTTGCATCATGAAGATGTCCATGGAGTTTGTGGCGCATCCGACTTGGTGCGTAAACGCCTTCACTTAATGCGATATCCTTCGCCAAAATCATCAACCAGTGAGTCGCATCATGATGTACGCTGCTTGCGACTCAGTAATCATGAAATCAACAGACTGCACAGTATGAGCGGTAACTCACTAGCCAAGGTGGCATGTGCTGAAATTTCATCTTCAATGTATCACCTCTCAGGCGGGGGTCGTCTCATCTTTGCTGATGATGCACCCCTACACGTCATCTTGTGAGCTTTCTTCTCATCTCAAAATTACAGCGACCCATTATGGGAGCTATGACTTTCTAGTGAAAACGTCGCTGGACATGTGGACAAAGTGTCTTATGATGACCAGATCGCCTTAGGTAATTGGAACAGAGAAATGTAAGCTGCTATTAATTACCTCGGCCGTCGACGACATGAAGTCGAAGTAAGATGCATCTCCGCGGAGTAGGCGACCGTGTTAGTCAGCTTGCGGCTATGTGAGCAAAAATACTTGCGAGCGTCCAGTTCATTACAGTCGTTTACGATTTTTCTGCCCTGGAAAGAAGTCAATTACTTGCATCATGCAATGATAAACATCGGAAACTTGAACCGACTCTAATCGGATCCGTGAGAATAGATGTAGTATAGGATTAAGGCTCGTACGAAGTTGCGAAACTGTTGTCCAACTAACAGCCAAAGGACAACCAATTCTACTAGTTCGGAAGAGATCGCGGGGAACGGGAGGATCCCCGGTACTTCCGCCGCATTTCCGACAGAGTTGGCTTAATATCCTGGCAACTCATCGGCATCCTGGTTGGCTCGCCGTGCGGTTCCGGTCCAAAGGGCGCCAAAGGGCGTGTGAAATTTGCTACTTGGTTGAATAAGTCAATCACCGAGCGGTGCCAATTGTAGTTCTCAATGACTAATTGTCAAGTTTCAACTTCTTACTGCCGCCTCTAAGTAATAAGTTCGCGGGGCGCTGCTATTCATTTACCCTTACCACACACACCGCCTAACCTCGGCAAAGACTGAGTGACGAACTAGGGACTTTTGCCCATGAGTCAAAGGAGAAAAGGGATTTTAGTTCTAAGCGCGAAAGCGCGAGGAAACTGGTTCAAACAGAGTCTTTAAGCTGCGCGCTCCCCGCCATGACTAGCATACGGGAATGAAAAACCGCTTATTCCCAGGACACAACACACACGATCAATGTCCATCCAGGTCTATGACGCCACCCTCTCGACATCAGAACGCATGTCGCCCAACAACAGATTGTGATGATGGATAGCAGCATAGAAAAGGAGACGAGGTCCGACTCGTCGCGGAACGAAGGTGGTCTGGTAGGAGAAGAGACGCACCGGACAGGGAGCCGCGTCGGGCGCGTGCTGAGCCGCATCGCGTCAGCGCCCACTGCGGATCCCGGGCCGCCGCCTGACGGGGGATACAATGCTTGGATGGCCGGTAAGAATGAGATGCTGCCTTTGCTGAAGGAGTGGAGCTGACGGGCGGTTATCATAGTACTGAGCGCGCATTTCATCTTTATGGATACATGGTGAGTGAGACAACAGCGCAACAGGACCTTGAAGATGAAGTGGTTGACATGGCGGGCAATGTAGGGGCTTCGTCAACTCTTTCGGCGTCTTTCAGACATATTACGTCCAGCAGCTGAAGAGACCACCGTCAGACATTTCATGGATCGGATCCTTCCAAGTCTTCCTGCTCTTCTTCATCGGCGCATTCTCCGGCCGTTTCACTGATGCAGGGTACTTTCGCCATCTCTACTTCTCCGGCTGCTTCCTCATCCTGCTCGGCATCTTTGCAACGTCGTGGTGCACGCAGTACTGGCAGATTTTCCTCTCGCACGGCGTCTGCGTAGGCCTGGGCTTCGGTCTGGTGTTTTGCCCATCCCTAGCGACGCTATCGACTTACTTTGACAAGAGAAGGGCCATCGCCATCGGCATGGCGGCTGTAGGAAGCGCGTCAGGCGGCTTGGTGTTCCCGAGTACGGTTCGACAGTTGCTGCCGCAGGTTGGGTTTCCATGGGCTATGCGCACGCTTGGCTTCATACAGCTTGCGACACTGACAGTTGGGTTCATCTTTCTGAAGCCGCGCATACCGCCGCGCAAAGCGAGCAAGATGGTGGACTTGGCGTCGTTCAAGGAACTGGAGTATACTTTCTATACTGCCGGGGGGTTCTTTGTAAGTTCATCTTTCGCCTGTTGAAACTGAACGTCACCGCTGACTTGAATGTGTCCAGTCCTTCATGGGGGTGTACTTTGCCTTTTATTACCTGGCCTCTTTCAGTCGAGACGAGCTCGACTTCTCGTACACGGACTCGCTGAATCTCCTACTGGTTCTGAACGGCATCGGCTTCATCGGGCGTCTAGGCCCGAATTTCCTCGCCGACAAGATCGGCACAATCACAGTCTTCACACCCATGGCTCTGATCTCTGGACTATTAACCTACTGCTGGATCGCTGTCAAGTCCCCATCGGGACTCTATGTCTGGACCATTTTCTTCGGCATCGCGGGTAACGCCATCCAGGCCCTCTTCCCGGCTGGCGTCAGCGCCTTGACGACGGACCCTAGCAAGCAAGGGACGCGCATCGGGATGGTCTTCACTATTGTTGCGTTTGCGGTGCTCACCGGCAATCCAATCGCCGGTGCCATCATCTCTGCTACCGGCGGCCGATACCTCGGCGCCCAGGCTTTTGCTGGCAGCTGCTTGATGTTGGGAACATTCTTCTTAACCTTGGCGCGAATAGTCAAGACGAAGAAGATTGGCAAAGGCTGGTTTGTCAAGGTTTGAGCCTCCTCATTGGTAACGGTGGAAGGAAGAAGGAGGAACCTGTACAATATTATATAAAGCTGAGTGTATATATTCAGTCGTCGAATTACGTACTCGTATGCTGGCAAAGATTCTCACACAATTCAAATCGTATCAGTTACGACGGCTGTTTCTTCGCTAGAACGCAACAGACCGAACCCGAGAGAGGGCGCGGCTGACTGATCCCAATTTCCTGAGCTAGCTTTCACTTTATAAGCCAATCTAAATAACAATCTCTAACAGAGTTGCATTGCAAGCTGACATTACCTTGCGATTCAGCGACACGTGATAGAATGCTTAGTCGACTTGGCAGGGGCTCAAAAGAAGTGACCCTTTCCGTTTAGGAAACCAGTTAATTGGGCAGCGCTTGGCTCGTCACTTTGACAGGCGTAGATAATACTACATAGTCGTCTTGAGTTGGAGTAGGCGCCGTGGTGCCGGTAGCCGCGTTCCCGGCAAGAACAAGGTTCAAGGCCCCGATAGCATTCTTGATAAACATCACGCCACTGTCAATTTGAGACTGAACGAATATTTTAGGAAGGTTACATATAGTGACCAAGCAATAATTAGCCGCTTGGGTCGTGCGGGTGTCAGCTAAACTGCACGTGGCTCACAGGATCGCACGCAAGGTTCGAGATGCTTAGAGAACGATTAGTAGGCTAGATGTGAAGTGTATCGTCACCACGAAGTTGTAAAGAGCATGATCGTCATCATGGTGCATTTTGGTAAGCTTTGTTCTTCACTTGGAAAGATGCCCTGCGCAGCTAGACCACACACTTTCGGAGGAATTTCAGCATGTTTATTGCTTCATCTGAATCATTTCAACAACTGCCGAGGCCGGATCCGCCCAAGCTTGATGGATTTGTTGAAATCTGACTCGCCAGAGCTCCACCCCGCCATGGTGGACGGACACCGATACCAACAACAACCATGAACGAGAACAGCGCATTTCTTGATTCAAATAAAACGGGAGCCGGACAGATTCTAGTACCTACTATGTAAGTGGTGCCCGTGGTGATCAAGATCCACGTGCCCGGAGCCGATTATCTGTTTGTGGAGAGAGCATCGTCCACCATGGTCACGTAGCCCAGTTTTGTCATTGCTGACACGACGCCACAGAGGAAGGGATGTTGTCGACTCTTTAGTCTTCTCGCACCCAGTGCGTGGGCCGAAATGTGGCAATGCTAAATTTAACTTTAATGTTGATAGCCGATATAGATTAAAAGTCCCATCTCTATTCCAACCCCGATTGGCCACGCCAACATCTTGGCTCTAGAGCTGCCCCGTTTGGAACAACGGCGCTCTGGAAGCCTGTAAAGGCGGGTGTCATGCAACGCGGGTGCGTGGTTCGGACCAACTTTTTTGATGGATATTCGTTCCTGTTTGAGAAGTAAGAACCTAGCGAATGGTTCACCCGATCCCATTGCATCCCATCTACTTGGAACTGCAGAAGCTTGGTAAGGGTGTATTCTATGGATCTTGTTGCCGGCCTCGACCAACATGCTACACACGATAGCCTCCCTCAAAGATGGATAAACGGCCCTAACCGAGAACAACAATCCTTGAGAATATCGGCTCCGATGAGCAATCTAGAAAAGGGATACCTACTCTCTCCGAGTCTCCACGGCAGCCTGCCGCCTTTAAATATTCTCCTTCTGCCCTACATGTTCAATAAACATATAATCTATGATGGCCGGCTTCAAGTTCCGCGGAAGGACCTAGTTTCTCAGAAAAGCTTAAGGATTGTGGTATCGAACGCTGTTCATCCGGTTACAGTTGCTATTACAGTAACATCCAGTAACAGACGTCATGGCCGTCCTTAAGCACTGCGTCTGGCTCCTCTTTGCCGCCGGCAACGCTGCCCTTACCTCTGCCAAGACCACAACCCACAACTTTACGCAGACGGCGATCGACAACGGCGATGCCCTTACCCAGCTCTCAGCGCAGGCTCTCGAGGCCTCAAAGGCGCTGAACCAGCGGATGGGTATCAACTCGACCTGCACGCCCGACAAGCTGCGCGTACGGAAAGAATGGTGAGTTGTGTACGATGACCCCATTCTTCGATCACAGCGTGCTGATATTGGGTCTTCAGGAGAACAATTCCTGCCGAAGAGCGCAAGGCGTACGTCGCTGCGGTCAAGTGCCTTCAGTCATCCCCTAATCTGTTGAACGCCACGGAGCTTCCGTCTGCAAAGTCATTATACGACGACTTTGTTCTGACCCATCTCAACCAGACTGGAATGATTCACATTACGGTATGTCAAGACGGGTACTACTCGGAAATTCAATGGGGCTGACTGAGTGGGACTATCCAGGCGAACTTCCTCCTTTGGCACAGATATTTCACATGGACATACGAGGAAAACCTCCGCAACGTTTGCGGCTACACCGGTTAGCACTTCTCGATTCATCCACAGGGTTAAAACTCCAATCTAATTGCCCGCGTAACAGGAACCTTCCCCTACTGGGAATGGGGTTTCGACGTTGAAGACCCAGCTAAGTCGCCCGTCTTCGACGGCTCGGAGACCTCCATGGGAAGCAACGGCGCAGCCATCGAGCACGAGGGCATGCACCTCCTCCAGAGCTTCACCAACACCACCATCATCCTCGAGCCCGGCTCGGGCGGCGGCTGCGTCGAGACCGGACCCTTCTCCGATATGGTCGTCCACGTCGGGCCCCGGCTGCTGTGGCAGTACGGCACCACGACGCCGCTGACCGTCGATAAGCCGACCGATGACCACCCTCGCTGCCTGAAGCGTGACCTCAACAAGCACATTGCTGCCCGATACTCTTCGCTGCGCAATACCACCGAGTTGATCCTCGGTAACGACAACATTGAGTGGTTCCAGGCGGTTATGCAGGGTGATGACAGGTATACGCCCGGCAGCGAGGTCGGCATTCACGGAGGAGGCCACTACACGATAGGAGGTAAGTTTTTAAAAGACTTTTGCGCAGATCTTGGCTTCGACGGCAACTGACTTTGCGTATAGGCGACCCCGGCGCGGATCCCTTCATTTCTCCCGGCGAGCCCGCCTTCTTCCTGCACCACGCCCAAATCGACCGCGTCTACTGGATTTGGCAGATGCTTGACTTTGCCAACAGACAGGTATGTCGGAACCCCCATCAAAGAAGCTTTGAAGTCTTACTTGCATCCTAATTGAGAAAATACTAACAATTGCTTTTCTGAAGGATATCTTTGGCACCAGGACATTGCAAAACAACCCGCCGAGCGCGAACGCCACTTTGGATGATCTAATTGACATTGCTCCCATTGGCGGATCGGCCAAGCTCAGAGACCTGATGAACACTGTCGGAGGATCTCCGTTCTGCTATGTCTACGAGTAAAAGGCGAGTTCGCTTATGAACAATTACCTCCCAACCAACTTGTATCTCTATATCATCTTCTATTGTACATAATTCAGCTGTAAATAGCACCCCTGTACAACTATCTGGTCACGTTGAATATACAGACTACAGTCTTGTTGCACCAAGTGTCATTGATACTGCCATGCTAATAGATTGGATGGTTCACGCCGAACGGCCGGTTGGTGCCGAAAGATCGGAATGGCACACCCAACGGATAGCGACTACAACCTCGGCCGTCGCAATTGCAACCTATGTGGATAGAAGATTGCGGTGTCATGGATTCATGTATAACTTACCAGGCAGTCGGCAAGGCAAATGATACGACGTTTCCTAAAGCGGTCTAGGAGAACATGCAGAGTCAAGAGTGGCCGACATGATGAGAGAAAAGCATCTCATCTTATTCGATCCCACTGAAACCGTCTGCCAAGGAGCGTTCATCTTATGAATCTTGTCATCCTAAAGAGTATGCATCTGAGCAGCATGGATGATGCAATGGCGTGAAAAGGGGAAACAGGGTATTGTTGCGACGAAAAACTCTAAACGTGCGGATGATACCCCGGCCGCGGAGGATGACCGCGGCAGTTTAAAGGGTGCTGTTAGACTTGCCATGGTAAAGAGGGGTGCTCTCTTCTGCCCTCGGCTACGGAGAGTGAGAACCCTGCTTGGGGATCATATGTCCATCTTGAAATACTTCCTCCGAATAGAGTTCGTCGTTCTGGAACACGACATTCGCGACAAGTTCGCTTCAAAGACCCGATTCTGAAACCCCCGCACCCAAACTCCAAACCTGCGGACAGTCCGGAGAAGCTTTCAAAAGCCCTCGAAGCTGGCAAGCCGGGTGCAGAGGATGGCCCTCGAGTCAACAAAATACTCCGGTTTGGTTTCGGTTTCGGGGCTGTCAGTCTGGTCTGGTCTAATTCAAGCTCAGTCCCAATGACCCTATAACAGATGACAAGACCGCTCAGTCTCTTTCTTCGGATGATGGTCGAATTCTCTCCTTGGCTGTGATTAGTTATTGGTGATGATTGTGTTTAGTCTGTTCCTATTATCATTTTAATCTAAGTCTGTCACTTCTGTAATAATGCCTTCCCTAACCAAATCCCTCGTTTCTCTTCTTTCGGCCGCAATCATCGGCCAGGTCCAGGCGGTTGACCCGCTTGTAGACCTTGGCTACACCAAACTCCAAGGAGTCGCCGAGCAGGGCGGTGCGACTCGCTGGCTGGGCGTCCGGTTTGCTGCGCCGCCTGTGGGTCAGCTCCGGTTCGCGGCACCGGTTGATCCCCCGAACACGACTGATGTTGTCGATGCTTCGAATGTAAAGACGTTTTTCCAAGGTGTGGGATAGCGGCTTTGATTTGCTAACGATTCTGCCAGTTCCGCCCGATATGTCTAGCCCGAAGTGCCTCCGACTTCACCATGAAGCCGAACAAGCGCTTCACGACGGACGAAGACTGTCTCTATGTCAACATCTTTGCGCCATCGAACGCGACACCGGAGTCCAAGTTGCCAGTCATGTACTTCATCCAGGGCGGCGGGTTTCAGTCTCTTTCCAACGCCAACTTCAACGGCAGCGATCTGGCCAGGTTCGGGAACATGCTAGTCGTTCAGGTGAACTATAGAGTTGGTATGTGATTGAACAATGATAAATATCACAGCGCATCATGAAGTCGCAGAGAAGGGGCTAATATTCACTACAGGGCCCTATGGTTTCTTGCAGAGCAAGGAGGTGGAGGCTGGCGCGAGTATGAACAACGGCCTCAAGGACCAAATCCAAGGGCTGAAATGGCTGAAGCAACATGCCGCTGCTGTGAGCTTTCTTCCAACCTTCTCTCCTACCGCCCCTTTGCTGACTGACCTCTCAAGTTCGGAGGAAATCCCGATCAGATGGTAGCTGTAGGTGACTCTGCTGGCGCAACCTCAGTAGCCATGCTTCTCGCGGCCTTTGGTGACAACGACCCGGGTCTGATCAAGGGAGCCATTATGGAATCCGTCTCCGTCGCTACCGTCCGCACCCTCGAGCAAGGCCAGGAACAGTACAACTGCCTAACCAACGCCACCGGCTGCAACAAGCAAGCTGACACCCTCGCCTGTCTTCGCGGCCTCAACGCGACGGCCCTGCAGACGGAGGACTGCCAGTTCAACCCCAACCTCGACGGCGACCTCGTCAAGGCGCCGACGCTGCAACGCTTCGCCGAGGGGAAATATCTCAAGGTCCCCACCATCGCGGGAACCTGCACCGACGAGGGGACCAAGAACGTGCCCCAAAAGACCGACACCGTCGAGGAGGCCTTCAAGAACATGAACAACCAGGCCACGCAGTCCCTTAGCAACGCCTCCCTCGCCCTCCTCAAGGAAACCTATCTCGACAAGCCGCAGCCGGTCTTTCCCAACTCAGGGAAACTCTGGCGCCAGCTCGCGACCGCCCACGGCGACTACAGGGCGCACTGTATCACGAAAATCTTCCAAGACGCCATGGCTCGCGACGGCGTGACGACCTTCAACTACCGCTACGGGCCTCTCGACGACGAGCAGGAGGCCCAGGGCTTCGGCGCCTACCACACCGTCGAGCTCAACGGCGTCTTTGGTCCCAACAACACGGACGGCGCCCCGCCAAAGAGCTACTCGACTACCAATGCGCCCATCGTGCCACTGACGCAGGCCTACTGGGCCAGCTTCGTCCGCAGCCTCGACCCCAACGCCGCGAAGATCCAGGCGGGTATGCCGGTGTGGGCGGCGTGGACCGTCGACGGGAAGCAGAGGCTGCTGTTCCAGAATAATACGGGAACGATGGAGGGCATGCCCGCCGCGCAGCAGGATAACTGCGCCATGTTGGCGCCCATGATTCCCTTCATTGAGACGCCTGCGTCGGATGCGCAGAAGGCGTCTGTGAATTTGCAAAAGGTGTCCGGAGCTACGGCGCCGCCGGCTGGGCAGCCTGCCAAGGCTCCAGCTGCTGGTAGTGGTGCCGGCATGAACATGGGCGAGTCCATGTCTGGCAAGCAGATGGAGATGGAGTCAGAGCATGGAAACAAACGCAATGGCACTAAGCACGGCGGAGGAGAGGGCGGCGGCAAAGGTGGTGGTAAGGACAAAGGCAAAGGGAAGGGCATGGGACATAAGAACGGTACGAGCCCTGATGCCCCGAAGCATGGTGGAGGAGAAGGAGGTGGCAAGGGCGGCGGTAAGGGCGGCGGTAAGGGACGCAAGAACGAGACGATGCCAACGCCTGGAGGAGGTGGAGGTGGAGGTAAGGGAGGAGGCAGAGGAGGTATGGGAGGCAGAAACGGGACCAACTCTACTCCTCCTACTGCACCTCCTCGGGTTGGTTCTGCTTCTAGCATGGGGTACGGAATCACCGGAGTGCTGTCGGCTACGATGGTGGTATGTCTCGGGCAGTTCCTTTTGGCTTAAGCTGGCAGAGGTAGAGTCGAGATATGTCCGTCCGTGGAGAGAGAATTATCAATATTACAATGTTCAATGCCAGGAGCTGTGCTTTTGACTCGCCACTGACATCTATGCTTAACCTTTCCATCTATTCTAAAGCCGCGACTTTGGCGGTCCAGATTGTCCTACCAGAGCATTGTCAAAGAATTGCCCTTGATGCGTCGGTTGACCAACCAGCCAACCCTCAATGGCAGACACCAAACCTTCTAATTCCTCGATAGAGTTTCCGGCATGGAGGCAGATCCTCACGCGCTCGCTTCCCACCGGGACAGTAGGCGCAACGATCGGCCTCAGCATGAAGCCCCGCTTCTGGCAGTGCTGTGCCAGGCCCCGAGGATCCGATGTGAAGAGTGGTATGATGGGCGATCTCGGCTTCCCAGGCGCCAGGTGCATCAGGTTTCTATCAGGCCGGTGACGTTCCAGCATTTCTAGCAAAAGTTCGTTTGTTTGGTTGATGAGGGACCAGAGATGGCGAAGGAGTGATTCAGAGTGTCCATTTGCGATGAAGTCGTACGCCGTCTTGATACTTGCCAGAGACGTGAAGGGCATGGCGGTGGTGTAGATGAGACTCCGAGCGTAGTTGATGAGGTATGACCGCGTGAGGTGGGAGCACAAGATGATTGCTGTTTCAGAGTAAGCTTCAAGCAGAAGAAGAACCCGGGCTGTAAGATATTGAACATACCTCCTGAGCAACTCATCGCCTTGCCAAACGTGTGTACTCGAGCCCACACTCGATCTTCAAGACCAAGCTGGCAAACAAGCCCTCGCCCTCTTGGCCCAAGAAGCCCCGTTGAATGCGCCTCGTCGACAATAACAAGGCCGTTGCCACGGGGAAGCAGCCGTTCAACACACTCAACCACTTTCTTGAGCGGCGCCACATCCCCATCCATGCTGTAAATCCCCTCGACAGCAATAAAGACGCGTTTCCGCCCCTCGCGTACCAGACGGCCTTCCTCGCCATCGGTTAACCTGGATAGGACCTCGCTCAAGCTCTGTGGCCACTGCTGCTGGGCGTCTGCGGGGTCCACCGTGTTGTGCGCAAAAGCAATCTTCTTCTCCGCTCGGCTCAGCTTCATGCCATCGTGGACACTGGCGTGGATGAGCTCGTCGTAGACGATGATGTCGCCTAGTTGAGGGGCACAGCTGAAGAGCCCGACGTTGGCGTCAAAGCCCGAGTTGAAGAGCAGGCCGGCCGGGCCGCGGTGGAAGGCTGCGATATCTCTCTCGAGAGATTCTGCGAGGGACACGTTGCCATCCAGTAAGCGTGAACCACCGGAGCCCAGGAGAGATGCGCCATGAGTTTTGCCTTTGCCATTGCCGTTGCCGTTGCCATTGACCTTGGTAATGGCACTGCCATCTCCAGCATCAATCGTCCGGGACGGGGACGGTGACTGTGATGGGGACGGCTCAAGGTGGGCCTTGATCCGGGACAGGTACCGAGCCTGAACCTCGGGGTGGGTCGACAGAGAGAGGTAGGCGTTGGATGAAAAGTCGGCGCTGCCGGCCGGAACGAGGGTCAGCCGCCGGAGCTGGCT